TTATTCCTCAGTAAATGTCTTTAATGTATTCACGTGCCAGCAAATTGGAAAAGGCATCCCTCTGTGACCTTTTGGAATTGACACATCTCTCCTGGGGCAGGGAGTTGAATCCCTTGTCTTAGGTATTCGGGAACTTCACTGGGAAAGCTTTGTCTTCTTTGCATCTTGGCTGAGCATCTCTGATTGGAATGCAAAAGTAACAGGCTCCACTTGTCAGCGCAGCTCTTAAGGTCCCCCAAGTCAGCGATGCCAGGAGATGAAAAGCCAAGGGGCTGGGGCTGTCAGGGAGGCAAAGCTGCTGACTCTCTTGTTTCTCATGTCTTGAAGTTTACATCAGCGTCAAATCAAGTTCATCCCAGGGCGTTTCTGATGTCAGAGTTTCATTTTCAATCAGTGCCTTGAGTGAAATTCATTCCGAGTGAATATGGTCATCATAACCAGCAGGTGGTTAGTAATTTTTATTTAGAAACATAGCTTGAAATTACTTAGCTTCAGAAGCTACCTTGAGCTGAGAAGATACCTTGAGCTGAAAACCAGGCTGTTGGCCAACCTGGATGCTCCACATTGTGGTTTCAAGACAATGTTCCTCTAGTGCCAGCAACATCTGCGGCTGACCAGCTGTAGGAAAGCCCGAAAACCCATGGCTTCGGATGACCAGAGCTGATTGGTAATTTGCTACAAGAGATGCCTTACTTTTTTTCCAGAAGTGCACAGAAAAATCAAACTTTCTAACTGCTCTGCCCTGAGGACATATTTAGCAGGCATCTAAATCCCCGGCCCTTGAGGACATATTGTAATCGAGTTAACCCAGATTTTCTGGGAAGCACAGATTTTTACCTTTGATCAGGAGTTTAAAAGGTTTCCCAGGCCAGGCATGGTGGTGCAGGCCTGTAATCCCAGCACTTGGGAGGCTGAGGCAGGAGGATTGCTGAGTTCGAGACCAGCCTGGGCTACATAATGAGTTCTAGGTCAGTCTCAACTACATAGGAAGACTCTGTCTCAAAAAAA